AATATTGTTTGAGATGCAGGGCATTGAGGGTGAAGACAGTGGACTAAATGATGATTTTTATCTCCGAGTAATACTACAGGCCAGTAATGAAGACAGTACAGAAAATATATCACTCCAGCATAAGTGAAAAGCCATAAAAAAGCAGCAGCTAAAGTTACTGGGAAGACGCAGTAGAAAAGCAACTATGTGGTCAAGTGATTTTCTTTGAGAAATGGCATAGGAGCTAGGTCTGAAGAGACTTCAGGCCTGCAGAGCTGGAGGGAGAGGCAGGATGCCCAGAGTGGCACTGCTCAGTAGGATCTCCCTGGTGACAGAAATGTCCAATGCGGCTGCCACTAGCCACAAGTTGAAATGTGGCTGTGACCAAGGAGATGAATTTAAAAATTTTTAATTTCATTTTATTGGTCGTCGGGAAAGTCATGATGCATTTTTGCATAGGAAAATATATCATGGCTTTCCTGACAACCTACTAATCACTATAAATTTTAATGGACAGCACAGGCAGGGTGTGTACAACACAACTTCGTCATTTCAAGAGTTTTAGTGCTCTGGTGAAGTTTTTGTTTAATCTATATTCCCAGGTTGGATTACTCAGAATGCTGGGTAATGTTTTTAAATAAATCTAGTGTAGACATGTCCACACACAGCATGCTAATCTGACTATTTGGTAGGCAGTCTACCATAAACTTTCGGACTTCATTTCTACTGCTATAAGCTAGACTGTGGTAGAACTGGAAACACGGACCCCGAATCTGTAACTTCTCCCCACTTCCCTGACACCATGGTGGAGCCACACAATGATAGCAATCCAGACTCCCGAGTTACGTCCTGGAGGACAGCTGTCTAGGACACGTGACCAACCCACAGTGGAATGTGTTTTGAGCAAGACATGCACTTTGGTTAAAACATTGCACTTTGGGGTTGTTAGAGTAGTTTTAGTCAAAGTAATTAATACTTAGTAAGAAAACAACCCAGTTTTAGTGAAGGTAATTAATACTTTGAAAGAAAACAAAACAGTTTTCTTTCTATGGTATTCTACTATCATCATTACAAAGCTCTTTATGTTGAACATTAATTTTTCCTCTTTAAATCCATTTGCTACCATTTTGTCTTTGATAAATATGGAGTTTAACTAGCTAGTAGCATTGGCATTATAACACATTTATTTCAATAATGACTCATTAAAATACTTATCTAAATTAAATCACCTCAATTTATTTGATTTTTCTTGAAAATCTGTAATTATCAATACTTTAGTCTTCAAATCAAAGTGGCTTGTAATATCTTTCATAGTTGTTAGATCCAGAAATTAAATTTAAATCTCATGCATGTTGAACATAATTAGAAAATGAAGTCTTCTGTAGACAAGTTAAAAGTTGAAATTCTCTACTGCTGCTTTGACAAAAGAAATTAGTTTGAGGGGAATTTTCTATTTTGGATTCATTCAGGGGAATTCATGACATTTATTGCTATTCTCACCTAGGAAGGAGAATAATTCTCCAACTGCATATATTGTTATTTATCAAAAAGTTTATATACATATTAACAAAACTGTGAGGAGACATGCTTTAGTGTACAAACAATTCCCTTATATGTGATGACAACTATTTTTTTTTTCTTTTTTTTTGGGGGGGAGAGTTTTTTACTATAAGGCGCATGGGCTCGCCAGAAAGATAGAGAAAGACATAGAGATAGAAAGTGAGAAATCACCCCCCAGGGGAGATGGCCACGCTGCAATCCCTTCTCCTCCATTCTCCTCTCAGGATCCTGGGCATGCATGCACACGCGCCCGGCGTGAGTTTAAGCTACCGAGTGCAGGACTCAGACTGTGGACGACTACATGGGAGTCCAGCGACATAGCCATTCCGCTAACTGCTGGTCCCTGTGATGACAACTATTTATAAGTGGTTGGCACTTGGGACCTTTTATTCCTTTTAAATTTTCAAAAGATATTACTAAATTTCCTTAAGATATTACGAATCCTGAGATAATTTGCTTACAAAATCTGTTTCTCCCATTATAATTTCAGCCAAACAGCACTTTTAACAATTAAAGGAATATTCGAATATCTTAATATAAGCAACCACGAAAACAACCACATACTCGAGAAGCAAAGTATGCTTCCAATCCCGCAGAGCAGATATGTCAGAAACCCCGGAGAACGAGCGTGTGTCTGTGTGATCAGAATTAAACCAAAGTTCATCCCCTTCGCATTACCTAACAACTTGTGATTTAGACACTAAAAGGAAAATTCTAGAGGTTATTCTTCCAAACAAAAACCAGCTTTGCCCCAAATGAGAAGACCAAATCCTGTTAATGTGAAATGTAGTAAGTATTTTTTTAATAACAGTACCTTAAGACATGAGGCATAACCAACTAGGCATCGTCCTTATTTACTTCTTTGTCTCTTCTGACAAAACCGCAGGTCATCTAGTAAGACCGGGGCATCGAGGGTGGTAAGTCGATCACAAAGGTGTCTGAACAACTGCTGGCACCTCGACCAGCTTTCACGGACGACCACTATGGCTGTCCAACCCAGTCCCTAACATCAGACGACGCTCACCAGGGACCCTTGCCAATGTTACACTCGGCAAATCTCAGAGGCTGGCCAGTGGTGCACACCTGCGGTGGTGACGCTGATACAATGAATTTCAGAAATTCAATTTTGCATAGGGAGCTAAGCCATTTTCATATGACACTAATTTTTTTTTAAAAAAGGAGCTATCTCCAAGTTTCTGATTTTTTTTCAGTTCTAATTAAATCCAGATCTAAATCTTTAAGTATCAGTAATTTCGAGGTTGCAGATCACCCTTAACACCTCTCTGTATTATTTTATCCTCAGCCCTATAATGCAGAAAATGAGCCCCCTCTATTGAGAAAATGCAAACATATAGTTTGTTAGGATATAAAGCAAAAAACCCAGTTCAATGCAACTGTGGTGAGGCAGGTCCATTTTATTATCCAATCATTTCTGTGGAGGGTTTCGAAGTATCAAAGTCCTCCCCACCACCTCTTTATACTTAGGAATTTTACATAATAATAATATACAGAATACTTCCTATTTTGTATATATATATTATATATATATGCAGAACTTTACATTTTAAATAGAAGAAAAAATAAAAAAGGATAAAAAAAGCGATGTGAAGATGACAGTAAAGCAGGCATTCATTTCATAACAACACGAAGTAGGTAGTATTTATTCTCACTGTACAAATGAGGAAATTAAGGCTCAGAGCAACGAACTTGTCAGGGGCCAAAAGCCTAGTAAGGGGTGACCTGGGATTTGGACCCGAGTGTACCTCCCTCCTGAGTGCATACTCTCTTGCTGTTTTGCCATGTGCTGTTGTACCTTTGTAAATCAAAAGCATGGCCAGAGCTGTTCGGAAAAGAATCGACACCTGATAGAGTCATTCCAGTTCCGCCTCACTGTTCCCATTCCTAACTCTCCTACCCTGTTTTTGTATTTTTAATCCTTGCTTTTTATGTTCCTTAATCCCACTCTGTTGTCCATTTCCCCACACTTTGCCATTTTTTCCCAAGTAGCACAAAAACTGTCTTTAATTTATGGCATTAACAGGAGCCAACACTTAGACTTGACTTAAATGATGCATGGAGAATTCTTAAACTTTTTATAAATTTATGATTAAAAAAATTTAAGTCCCCCGCATTACGTCTGTGGAAATGTCCCCCAAATCCCACTGGTATTGAGTTCTATAAGCATCGACAATGAGGCCTGGTGGGCACAAGCAGAGGCAGCTCACTGCTTCCTAGCAACAGCTATTTATACTTCCTCTGTGCCGCTCCTTTCCATCCAGGTGCTTTTTCTACCCATACTCAAAAGGAGTTCAACTCCATCAAGTAGGGCTATTGTTTCTTCTTCTCTATTAAATCTCTAACAATCTATCACCACATTCTCATACTCCCAGTGTTTCAGGACCGAAAAAAAAAAAAAAAAAGAAAGAAAGAGGAATCCTCTGGAAAGAAGCTCAAAGTGCTGCTTACGCAGATGAATTCTACATTTACTCTCTGGATCCCTTTAAGATGAGCAAGAGCGAGTGGGGTGGTGAGGAGGCGGCTGATGGCAGGGGCTGAGAGCACAGAAATGCAAAAGGAGCACTGTGGGGCTTTCTGCCTCCCAAAGACGACCAGAAAACCACTTTCCAAAATAATTAGGTGTTGGTGGGGGGACCCTCGCATTTCAGATTTAGGAAACATTTATTCCCTATAAATCCTGAATTTCTTAAACCATGGCCCTAGCTGTCTAGCTGTTGCAGGAAAGCAAACCAGGCACTGCTCTTGCCACTTCAGAATGCCAGGACAGGGGACAGCAGTGACCATGCTTTTGGCCATGCCCTTCAGTCAGTCAGTGCAGGACCCGTGCAGTGGTCACTAACAGTACCTGGCAGTCTCAAGCTTATCCTTTGCTTGCTTGGTTAAAAAAACAAAACTATGCAATATGCCTCCTACAACAAAAATAATGCAATGTCAATTACAGACATTAACCATCATTTTGGGAATTAAATAAGAAAGGCTAGCTACCTTTCTGGTTTTAAATAATTAAAACCATAAACATATTATTTGGAATAAAAGGATTTTTTCTCTGGAATTATCTGTTTGTAAACCTAAAAAGAGCAATGTTCTGACTAACATAAAAAGGGAAATGGCCTCTTCAAAAAGGGTGTAGGGGCAAAAAACAATGAGAAAATACACAAAATGAACTGGAAAGGTTTTACTGAAAAGAGGACTGGCTTCGTAAGCCCCCAGACTGTATTAAGGACTGCAAAATCCCTAGCCTTCTATCAGCTAATGAATCATTAGAAACAGCTACCAAGAACAGCATTAAGCTTTCAATGGAAAGAACTTAGGAGACGGTGAGGTACACGCGTGAGTGGAGAGCGGAGCGGCAGGCACAGGGCAGGGTAGGCAGGCAGGCACGCTCAGCCTGGCTCCCGGCATATGCATGTGGTCGTGTTGCCCCTGTGCACAGACAGACTGACCTTCCTTGAGACTTTTCTGGTTGCTCCCTTCAAGGCATTCCTTTTCTTTTAACGGTTCGAAATCCCCAGCAGTTAAAATCTCTGGGAAGCCCTGTTGCTGCTTCTTGGAGCTATCGATCATGGTGAGAGGCTTCTGGAGACAGGCAGCATCCAGCAGGAGAACAGCTCAATTTGCAGATCAGTGGAGAGCGGTGCTCCGAATCCTCTTTGGTCCAGGGTCCTCAGCTGTCCTCACAATACCCCAATCACTGGGCAATTATGTCTTTGAGCAGCTGAAGGCAGCCATTACCCTTTAGTTCCCAGCGTGACCTGCAAATACACCCCTGCTGCAGAAAACCCTTAACTCTCTCCCACGTCGGGAGGCAGAGCCACAGAGGCACGACTCTAAAATCCCACCCCTTTTCCCAGCCAGCCCCCTTCCCCTTGCCATTCCAGCTTCCTCCGCACTGGGTACTTCAATCTGCAGTTTGATGGTCCGAGTCATCTGACAAACACTGAGTCAAGCAGTTAAAAATAAATCCTCTAGTTGTTAAAAGAGAAGACTTTGCTGATACCTAAGAAGACAAATTGCTGCCTGTGGTCTTTCTCCCGCTCTCTACAAACACAGCCGCAGGCTGTGGAAATACTTTGTATCGGCCAGACAAGCACATTCATTACTCATTAAGTTCTCCAGCTAAACAAACGGCAGCCCCGGGCATCTGAAGGGAGCGGGTCTTATCTGGGCAGAGGCACCGCGCTGAATAAACATGCTACTGGTGTATCTGGAGGAAACCAGAGCCATTTCACTACCAAAGTTCTTTGGTCGTGCGCATTTTGCTGCATACTGCTCTCCCTGGCAAAGCCAAGGCTCTTTGTAATAGGGAAGTGCACTGTAATTGCAGCTTGTTTTTGGCAATTCTGACCAGAGCAGCAGTTTTCCTCTGTGCCACTAGTCGGCTGAGAGCGCTAACATCGCCATGATTTTCCAAAGGAAAATTCTCCTCCCATGTATTAAAAGCAGCAATCCCAAGAGCTTCGATTTCATAACAGATTCAACCAGCGACCAGCCCAAGTTTAATTTCACATGAGCCATCAGCGACGGGCACCTTTCTTCCAAGTCACAGGCTGCTCACCGCGAGGAACGCTGCTCACGGGAACCTCCTAGGTATGTTCATTGCTGGCAAACGCGGAGACAAGCCTCTCTCCATACACACTAAACTTGTATCTGTGGCTATGTAAAATAATACAGTTTTTAAAAATGGCTCAACATATGCCCTTTTGCGGAGCGCCCATAAAACCGCCGGGTTATAAGAGCAGTCTCCCGTGAACCCTGCTCCACAGGGAGCTGTTTTGTTCACTTTTGTGAAGCCAACATCTAGCAGAGTGCCTGGAATATTCATTTTGATAAATCCTCCGTTGCCTGATGGAGTGAATGAATTAAAGCAGAAGAAAGTGCAACAGGAAAATTGCTTTCGATAATACTCAGAATTCGAATAAAGTCTGAGTAGATGAACAAAGAAATGTTCTCTAAAGGAAGCACAATTTCTCTTTAAAAGAAGATATACAAATACATCGTAATTATGCAAGTGACATGACCCTCCGGTGGCTTACATTTTTATGGCCAGAAAAAAAAATACATCTGTATTTTTTTTCACTGTTTCAACAAAGATAGGGCTGGATGAAGCATTGTATCCTTTGTCCCTAGTTCCGAGGCGGGTGTGCACTAAACCCGCGCTGCTCTAGAAAGGGATCTGCCCTTTTCCAGCGTCTCTCGAGAATGGGATTACACAACACATGACATGCTTCTTGTCAGTGGAAATTTCTTTTGAAGTAACTTAAGTCCATCCTCGGTAGTCCAAACCCCTCTGCATGAGCAGCGGCAAGCTTATCACACTTCTCAAAAATGCCCTCGCTGTGCCACTAATCTCTGATGCTAAGGCCTGTATTCTAAATAAGCTACCACTGTACTTTGAAAGAAGTAATAAAAATAACCATCATTCTGGGAAGGTATTCTTTAGGTTGATCACTTGATTTAATGTGTGACAAAGTTTATTTCATTCAACCCCCAACAATCCTTGGGCCTCCTGTGATTGTTTTTTTACAGATTTTATTTTACAGATCAGAATCACAAAGCTTGTAAGTGGCAGATCTGGTATTTCAAGGCTTGGTTCTCCAAAGTCCGTCTTCCCACTGCACTGTATCGCCTGCCTGCTTTCTTCTAGAGCATGCCCCACCTCCCAGCTTCAGCTTGATTTTGATAGCAGAAGCCATCACTTTTATGACTACCTAATTCTACTCCTGGTTAGACAAAAGATGGCCAACCTCATACCAGAATGAATTTATGAAGACATTTTAACTTTTTGTAAAATAATTACAATAGCAGCCAACTTCATTTAGTGCTATGCGCCATGGTTGGAGAGCTTTCTAAATATTACAGGTTGAGCATCCCTAATCTGAAAATCCAGAGTGCAGTCTGAAACTTTCTGGGCATCCACATGATGTCACAAGTGGAAAATTTCCCCATCTGACCCCATGTGACAGGTTGCAGTCAAAATGCTGCAAAACAAAAATAATGTGCAAAATTATTTTTCGGACAGGAAAAAAATACGCCTTAAACAGGTGTTCAAGGTGTATCTGAGATACATGAGTCCCAGTCCCAAGATACGTCATTATGTGTATGCACTATTTCAAAATCTGAAAAAAATCAGAAATCAAAATGTGCCTGAAGTATTGCTTGGGATAAGAGAAGTCAATTTGTATCTCATTTATCTTGCTGAAAGATGTGTGCCTTCATTATCCTGACTTACACGAAGAAAAACTGAGGCTCAGAGAAGTCAAACACTTTGTCAGAAGTGGCATATCTTGTAAGTAGTGGCCAGGATTCCAAAGCAGGCAGGCTGGCTCCAAGACCCACATTCTTAACGTTTCACAAAAAGAACAACAAAAACAATAAACCCCAACACCTTCTTTCTCAGGATATTGCTTTTAAGTCCTCAAAAATGCCCAGTTGTTCTTAGGTCACAAGCCTCAAAACCTGAGTATACAACTATACCAGCCATTTTAAAGTTCTTTACTGGCTTTGTGTGTGCATGTGTGGGCATATTCAATGTGTGTTCAGTGTGCTTTTTTAAAAAGTTCCCTTTAAGGATTCTCTGCAAGTTTATTATGTTTATATTTGATAATGATCAAAATCCCAATAAGGAAATGCATTGTTCTGCTCTAGGTTTACATTGAAAGTCCTTGTTTTTTAGTATTTGAAAAGGAATAATTTCTCTAGTGGTGAATGTGCCTGAAAGAACACTGTGTCTTTTTTTTTTTTTAATTGAAATAATTTAAACTCACAGAGCATTTTTCCCCCTGAACCATCTGTGAGTTCTGACATGATACTCCTTTACCCTCAGTACTTTGGTATGTGATTCCTGCAAACAGGGACAGCCTCCTGCAACACCACAATATAATTCAATATCAATAAAGCCATCAATATTAACATTGATATGCCAACTAATCCTCAGACTTAAGTTCCGCTGGTTGTCCAAACCATATCCTTAAGAGTGAAAGGATCCAGGATTGGTCTAAGTATTTCATGATAGGTAATGTCTTTTTACAAGCAAAATGAGAAATAGTGATAGACTGTTTAAAAAAAAAATAGAATAATAATAATGATTGGGAAAACATTGAAAAGATATTGAATGATGAAGTAGGGAAATTAATGTCGCTGTATTGACTGACAGGCATGGCATTCCCTTTTGAAAAAGCAATGTAATACACTGTAAAGTTATATGTAATCCAATGTAATATAAAGAAGATTATGATGATAATAAAAATTAAAAAAAAAAAAAGAATGAAAGGATCCAGCCAGGATCGCATATGGCATTCAGTTTTCAGGTCTCCTTAGTTTGTTTTTCCCCGTCCGAACAGTATATTAGTCTTGTCTTGATGTTTCTTTCCTTGGATTTTGAAGATTATAGGCTATTTTGTAGAATATCCTCAATTTAAGTTTGTTGGATGTGTCCTCATGATTAGATTCAGGTGCTGTATCTTTGGCAGTATACTGGAGAAGTCAGGACGTGGTGTTCGCCTCATCCTAGCAGGTGAGGTGAAACTCAATTTGTCCCATAACTGATGATATTTAATTTGATCCTTTCTCCACAGTAAAGTTAGTTTTTATCATTGTAATTATTTGGGGGGAGCTATTTGAGACCCACTGATGCACTTGGCTGAATTATCTATCACTATATGACTGTCAGACATTTTTGAGAATTCTGTAATTTCTTCTAGATTTATTATTAGTGGCACATCCTACTGCATGAACAAGACTTCGTCACTCAGCTTATGCAATAATGGCATGGATGCATGTTTTCCCATCTTCACCCAGTGGGTTATAACCTGATACTATCATTTATTTTGATGCTCAGATCATCTCAGATTTGGACAGAGAGACTCCCAATTCCTTATCATCATGACCCTGTCATTCTTTGAGCACCTTCTTACTTGTGGCATAAGATGTTTCAGACTCAGTTTGCCATTTTCCTGTTCTAACCAGAAACGAAGGTCTGAATGCTAGGTGTGCTTGTTGCTATCAGGATGTCACTGTCCCCAGGCCTTTGCCGCAAACAGAGCTGTATTTATTACTCTTTGTACTAACAGATGTAAATAGACACCTACTATTTAAGAATGTACCTCTATTCATTTATATATATTGGAAACCGTGAGTTTACTCTGATGTCCCCAATTCTAATCCAATGTCACAGGCTCACTCTCTTTTCCACCTTCATAATCCTCTTTCC